CCACCAAGCCAGGCAATAGTGTGAGGAAATGGCTGGGGAAGACTTTAGGCAACACCATTGTCCTTTCTTGCTCTGTTGTTCAAATTATGATCTGTGCTATTTGGTTGAGCATCTCTCCTCCATTTCCTGACTTGGATATGCATTCCCAGGCTGGAGAGATTGTCCTGCAGTGCAATGAAGGCTCAGTTGCCATGTTTTATACTGCGCTTTGCTATATGGGATTCCTGGCAGCTGTTTGCTTGGTGGTAGCATTCCTGGCCCGGAGGCTGCCAGGGGCCTTCAATGAAGCCAAGATGATCACCTTCAGCATGCTGGTCTTCTGTAGTGTTTGGGTCTCCTTTGTGCCCACCTACCTCAGCACCAAAGGGAAGTACATGATAGCTGTGCAGGTTTTCTCCATCTTGGCCTCCAGTGTTGGACTGCTGGGCTGCATCTTTTTCCCCAAGTGCTACATTATTGTTTTTCGACCTGATTTGAATAAAAAGGATCAGCTCATTCTGAAAAGCCAAATAGAAATGTAATTTTAAATATGTATAATTTAGCAAGCACTAGGGGACCCTTTGCTTACTTCTGTTCCTCCACCAATTTTTAGATCGAATATGACCATTTCGTAGGGAAGCTCGTTGTATCTGATTTGCATTTGCATTCTAAGGATCATTTAATTTCTTTCAAAAAATCTCTTCTTTTAAAATTATTGTAAAATCAGAACTTTACATTTTTCCAAAAATAAAAAGATGTCAAAAGATGAAGAAATAAGTGGAAAAAAAACCTACTCTAGAAATCAGACTCTAAATGTTTTGTAAGAAATTGGCTATTATATGATTATGTGTAGATCATTGAAATATATGAATATTTTTATGCTGTCACATCAGATCTCTTGGGTTCATTTTGCACATGATATTTTTCCTGACCTTGAGCAGTCCCTCTTCCTCAGCCCTAGGAAGAAGACAATGGCAGACCACTTCTGAAAAATCTTGCTAAAAAAACAGCACAAACTTGTTCAGTCAGTCTCTGAGAATCTGTCATGAATGAAAAAGAGAACCTCTCCCACAACAAATTTATTCATGGTACATGGCAGGTTTGAGTACTAAATCATTTTCCATAAATTATGTTGCTGAATTTGATATATTCTTCCTTCAAGAAACCTGACTAAATAAGTGTTTGTTTATAAGTGGGTATATAAGTCTTTCTCTCTAGAGAAAAGTTTCCTAAATTTGACTTAAATCTTAATGCTAACCTGTTCCCCAATTGGGCGCCAGTTTCAAATACTGAAATAAAAAAGTTTATTAGTCAGTTAAAGCCTTGTAAAGCTCCAGGCAATGACCTTATTAATCCTGAAATATTACACCATAATTTGTAATTCTGGACCCCAGTTCTTCCTTGCCTGTTTACTTATATTGATCTCACTGTGCAAATTCCATCATCTAGCCATCATAGTGCCTCTTTATAAAAATAGTACCTGAGACCTTCCTGGCAATTATAGGACCATTAGCCTCTTAAATACAATAGGTAATGTGAGAAGATTTATATCAAAATATATTTTATTCTTTATACTGTTTCCTTCTTACCTTAAAACATTAACAGAATCCACAATGTCTGAGAATCAGTGTCTCCACTAGATAATTGACAGTCCAGCTGAAACTAAATTAATTTAATTTAATTTAATTTAATTTAATAATTTAATTTATATACCGCCCTTCTCCCGTAGGACTCAGGGCGGTGCACAGCATATTAAAACAGACAAACAAAATACATCAAAGAACAAAAAAACCCCCATAAAACCAAATTAAAAGCCAAATATTCGAAGCTGTGTGTCAATTAAAATTTTCTTAAAATCATCCCTACCTAAAATCCTCCCTAGGTCAGGCCCGCTTGCTGGAAAAGCCATGTCTTGAGGGCGCGGCGGAAAGTAAGGAGATCCGGAATCATCCGGATCTCGGGGGGTAGTTCGTTCCAGAGGGTGGGGGCACCCACAGAGGGTGGGGGCACCCACAGAGAAGTAAACATAGCAAATGGAGGAAAATCGTTTACCCAAACTTCCTCAAACTCCCAAATAAGTTACCCAAACCTAATTCACATATCAAAGGATAAGATCTGCAAATACAAATAGAATTAATCATAGGAATAGATGGTTTTAAGACCTTCTAGTCAGATATATCCTTGAGGGGTACATATCAATTAGCTGAACTGACTAGTTTAAAATAGATTCCTGGGAAAATTCTCAGGAATTCCCAGGGGGAAATAATTTAGTTTTACACTGTTACCAGGATACCTTACCAGGTGGGTAAGTCCACATGGTCATCTGGAATTGAGACTTTCTCCTAAAAGATTCTTTAAAAAAGACCTTGATATTTTTATAAAGGTCAAGGTAGACTTCCTGATGTTCTGTGAGGAAATTGTGAAGAGCATGATGATGATAAACACAAGATTAATAGAAAGAGGTTCAAGAAATATCACTGAAGGAGTTTGCAAAATCTATCAAATTTCAGACCGTTCAGACTGATATTGATTTATTATATATTAAATAAAGGATGAACCTTACATTTGCTGGAAAAGACAAAAGCAAAGGGTGTATTGCCCTTTGTCTTCACGGTGAGCATTGTGGTTTTTTTTAAACTTTATTTTTTAAAGTTACCTTTATCAAATTTCAAGAAAAAACATTAAATACAAATGAAGCAAAAGGAAAAAGGAGAAGGGAATAAGAGGGCAATAAAAGGTGTCAAAATGATAGATAGATAGATAGATAGATAGATAGATAGATAGATAGATAGATAGATGGATAAATAGATAGATAAAACAAATAAATAATAAAAGTGACCTCAGACATTTTCCAGCACAGAGATAATAATATAATAAACCACCTTTCTCTAAATTTATTCTCAAAAGCAATTGGTGTCTTTGAGAAAAGTAAATGTAATCCCTGGAATTGCCATTTTTATGTCTCTAATCAATAGGTTCACTATATAATATTGAGCCTGTTTTACAGTCTGTTTTTCAGCAGGTGTTGGAATATAAGGGCATCTCCATAGATAGAAATCCAACCCTGAAACCCACTTGCTCAACTGCAAAACTATGCTCTAGGACAGTGATGGCGAACCTTTTAGAGACTGAGTGCCCCAAAACCTCCCCGCTTATGCAGTTAGGTGGGCTCTCCTAACCTGGAGGCAGTTCCTGGAAGGCAGTAACATTCCATTTGAGGTGTGGACAGAACACAAAAACCTAGAAGTGATAAAGACCCCACAGGATTGTATTAGGTTTTTTGGTTGCTGCTGCACATTGCTAGCTCATAGTCAAGTGATCGTCCATTAGGACTCCAAGGTCCCTCTCACAGTTAATGTTTTTGAGCCAAGTCTCACCTATATCTTTGATTTTTCCTGCCTAAATGTAAAACTTTGCTTTTCTCCACATTAAAACTCATTCTGTTGGATAGGGCCCATTGTTCAAGTTTGTCAAGATCTTTTTGAATCCTGAGCTTGTCTTCTGGGGTGTTGGCTATTCCTGCCAGTTTAGTGTCATCTGCAAATTTGATGAATTTCCCTTCTATTCCCTCATCTAAGTCATTGATGAAGATATTGAAGAATATACTGGGTCTAAGACAGAGCCTTGTGGTACCCCACTGCTTATTTCTCTCCATGTGGATGTAGTACCATTGAGCCCTACTTGTTGAGTACAGTTTGTCAGCCAGCTACAAATCCATCTGGTGGTGATGTTGTCTATTCTACCTTTTTCTAGCTTACAAACAGTAGATTGTGGTCTACTTTGTCGAAGTATGACTTCACATGTCATTGGAATCCAATTATTGTATTTTATAGTGGCATTTGGGTGGTGTTTGTGTTTGTTTGTTTGTTTATTTGCATGCTTGCTATAGTGCTATTTTCTCTACAAGGTGACAAGTAATATTTATTGATAGCCTCATTTGATTTTAACGGGCAATCTCTCAAAGGAGATATGAGATGCTTTATACAAGTACAGGAAATAAGACATAAGAAATCTCACATGTATTTGAGAAAAGGCAAAGGATGTCATGATATTTGTTGTTCATGGTCAAGTTCAGTGGTGGCGAACCTATGGCACGGGTGCCAGAGGCGGCACTCAGAGCCCTCTCTGTGGGCACGCGCGCCGTCGCCCCAGTCCTAGGCCTTTAGCTGGGTTTTATAAAACCTTTTCACTTTAGGCCACCGCCGCCGTGTACAAAAAAAAAAGGTTCAGTCAATCAGTCAATTTCAACTTCTCGCGGGAAAAAAAAGATCTTGCAAAGTTGGAATTGATTGATTGAACTTTTTAGTCCCAGTCTGCCGTTCCCACTGCAGCCACGCCCACCCAATGGGCCACACCCACCCAATGGGCCACACCCACCCGGCACCCGACGATGCATAAATGGGTTTTGGGTTGCAGTTTGGGCACTCGGTCTCTAAAAGGTTCGCCATCACTGGTCAAGTTGATGGTTGCTGGGTAGCGGATGCAATGCGCCATCTTTAAATCCTTCCTTTAGGCTTATGGAAGGCCTCCAGCAACTCACTGGTGAAAGAAAGGTCACCCTAAAGTTACATCTTATAAAAACTATATGGAGTTTGATTTTTATTATGATATATCACTGAAAAGGTTGATAGTTACAAGAACTGAATCAGCAACTTCTGCAGCTGTGCCCATGGACCCAGAATTTTGTACATTTCAGAGATGATATTTCCCATTACAATTAGTCATGTCTAGGTTGTCTTCTTGTTAATTCTCCAGGGATCTTTCCCCCAATGATTGCCTTCAGGGTAAACAACAGACTGAGAGCAACATGATTTGATAAGTTGTGCCAGAATCTGTGGCTGTTTTAATATTTTCTTTGCCCCTTATTGTTCAGGAGGATATGTGAGGTGATAAGTTACTTTTATCTCCTTCAAATATAAAATCTTGGCTGAGCTGCTGAATAACAGAAGCCACCGAAAATTTAGTCCTTTATTCTGAGACATGTTTGATAAATGCACGTGACTAAACCCAACATACCAAGTATGATCCTGCAGATTCTTCTTTTGCTCTTGGTGCATCTAATTTGTGGGATGCTGAAAGTGGAATGCTCCTTGAATTTGAAATCAGATGAAATATTACAAATGAATTTCTACAGCTCAGGAGACCATCTCATCAGTGGAATTACTTCTTCCACAGTTACTCTATCTGTGAAATACCGATTTAACATGGCTCCTCCTGCTAAATTTTATCTGTAAGTCCCTACATCGATGCCTTTCTATTTTGTGAGAGAGATTGTGTTGTGAGATTGTGATGGAAGGAAGATGAGACATGAACAACCTAGATATATGAGGAGCGTCTATTGGTAGCTCATTTCATAAATGGCTTATGGTAACAAGGAACCTCATTTGTTCCTTATGGTGGCAAGGTAGCTCATTTCATAAATGGCTTAGCTCTGGCAAGGAATCTGAGAAAAAAATGATTCAAAATGTTCCATGTGTCTCTCTCTCTCTTCAATGAATTCATAGTTAAAGTATGGTTGAATAAGCCTCTTGCACAATTCCAAAATTAAGACATTACTTAATTGGAGACTCTGTCCCCTTATCAGATTCCCTTTTGCCTGTCCTTCCTGAAGTTGAGATTAGAAAAGTAGATTTCAGGTAAATGTAGGGATTTACTTCCTTACATTTAGAAAAATATGGCCTTTAGCCTGAGTGCCATCCACAGGTTTATCATACTGCATGTAGATTCAGCACTGAGGGTGGGATTGCACTAAATGAATGATTTATTCTTGTTATGCCCTAAATCCAGCCGGATGCTTGTGAGCTGAGACATCCCTCAGAATAAACTAGAACAAATTCTACTGTAAAATTCAACACTGAATGAAATGTTCCTCAGTCTGGAAAGATAACACAATTACAGAACGGGAGAGAAAAGAGAGTAAGGGTGAATATAAGTGTAGGAGGGATGTTTTAAGTGACTCTTCCTAGATTTTTAGGAAATTTATTGTTGGGAAATGGGGTGGGGAGGTATTTCTGAGATTTCTTGCTCTTAGTTTACCAGTCCCCAAGGTGCTTAGGATCAGGTTCCCTGAAACTTTGACTGTTTCCATGTGGTCTTCCTCTGTGGAGAAGGTGTCCTACTGCAGGTCTAAAACGGTTGGATATATTTGCAGGGAGACAAAATGACATTCTGGTGCCTGCAATTCATCTCACTTATGCCCTAAATCAGCCCAAGCAGTAGTTTGTAGTTTATACTCAGATATTTTAATGTATTTATTAGTACCAATATAGTCAAACGAGCCTTCATTAAATATGTCTTTCTGACTGAAAGCAGGATGAAAATGTGATGTATCCATATTTGCAGTGCAGATTCCACAGTTTATTGGCATGTCCTGTCCTTCCTTTTCGCCCTTGAGGAGATTAACCAAAATCCCTTAATCTTACCCAATGTTACCTTGGGCTACAATATTCATGACAGCTATTCCAACGCAAAAGTGACTTTGGAGGCTTTGCTGGACTTGCTTTCAAAGGGAGAGGCAGATGTTCCAAATTATAGCTGTGGAAAGGAGAGAAACACAGTGGTGGTCCTTGAAGAAGCTGATGCAGACATGTCCATCCATATCTCAGGCTTGCTGAACCTCTACAAGATCCCACAGGTAGACCTGTGCAGGCATGATTGCCTGGTCATTTAAAAGGGAATACGTTTCCCATGAACATGATGGGAACCAAGAATCTGAATAAGATGTGAATCCAATTAGATTCTTTGGTCAGGGATCTTATCTATATTGGAGGATCCTATTGACTATTTGAGGAAGAAAAATTTTAGGGGTGGTGGCGGAAACCTCAGTGCCTGAATAGGAGACTGTGCCCACTTGGGATCTCTCTCAAAATGACTAAAAATACTGAAGTGGGAATAAATGTTAATATTTCACTTCTTTTCAGGTCAGTTATACTTTTCCTTCCAAGGTTTTGAGAGACAGAAAGCGATTTCCCTTTTTTTACTCAACTTTTCCCACAGAAACAAATGAGTATCTAGGAATCATCAAAATCCTTCAGTATTTCAGATGGACATTGGTGGGTCTTATTGGTACAAATAATGAAAATGGAGATAAATTTATGAGACTCTTCATACCCATACTTGATCAGAACGGTATTTGTGTTGTTTTCTCAATAACCGTTTCCTCATATACCATTTATGAGAAAAAGGATGTTGGTCTTTTCAACAAATGGAACCAAGTCAAAATCTTGCTTTACTATGCTGAGGTTTCAACCTTCTCACATGGATTATCAAGCACACAATTTCTCCTGGCCAACTTGGGGACATCTGTGGTAGGGAAACTTTGGATTACAACAGCTTTCTGGGACCTCACTTTGGAGTTGTCAAGTAATGTAGCTTTCACTTGGCACAACTATCATATTTTTTCTTTACTTAGTCACACAAATAAAAAAAATAATTATGATCATCTCTCCCAACTTCAGTATTTTACTGAGAGATTTATAAACCAATTATTTTCATGTTCCTATTCAAAGCATGCCCTGTCCGCGAAAGGCTGGACAAGATGCACAGAGAGGGGAAAACCAAACAGTGTGTCTCAAGAGTTGAGGGAAAGAATTCTGTCCCAGAATGGCTACCACATTTATCACACCATCTGGACCGTTGCACATGCTTTACATGCGACCTATTCTCTCCGATCCCAGAAAAGGGCCACAAAGAATGGCAACAGTTCTGGACTTCAAAGAGTGCAGCCTTGGCAGGTACTTTCCTTTTCCATCACAAAGATTTCTGCTGAAGGGGAGAATCCACTCTCCAATTCTGGAATTTTTGGTCTTTTATTGAGTTTTTCATGAACAGATTGTTACCTTTAATTTTGCTTTTATCTGATTTTATGAAGATGGGGAACTTTATGACGTACAGAATCATGTTCAACTGGAGCAGCTTCTCTACCTTGTAACCAGCTTAAGAACATATTTAGTCTCTGACAGACTGTAAATGAAATGAGGAGGCACAATCATATCCTTTAATGAATCCCATCTGGATAAATCCTCCTTCCCGAACCCTACCTCAGATGCTGGAGCCTAGGGATTCAAATAACAGTTTTTGACACTGAACCTGTTGCCAGATATCTGGCAGGATCATTTGAAAATTAGAGCATTTGTTCTCTTGAATATAGCTGTCTCTTTTAATTTTCCTTCTGATTTCTTGGAATTAGAACAATCTTTCTGCACATAACATTAAAGTTCTTGGGGGGTGAGAGGGAGGGACTGGCCCAGTCATGCAGGGAGCTTCCATGGCTGAGCAGGGAACAAGTAGCTGGCTTTCCCATCTCCTTCTCCATTAGTTACTAATTTGCAGCTATGTTACCACAGAAATTTGCTCTAAATTTTTCTTTTTTCACCCATTCCTATAAGGTTCTCTTCACTGAACCCTCAGTCCAAGAGTGAGACAGTCTTATGTTCAATTGTATTTGTGCAAAAGTAGCCTTGCCTCCTTCATTCTGAAACTATCCAAGGGCAACTTCCAGGTGTCTCAAATCTATTAGATTGTGTCCCCTATGACCCTGAAAGGAAATCAAATCATTGGGAAGTAACTGAGAGGAGAGACAAGTATCAGACCATCATTGTTTGGTTCCAAAGCAAGGATGAATGCAGAGCTCCCTAGCTCAGCTCTGAGGAATAGCTCTTAGCCTCCCTAACCAAGTCCTGAATAAAAGGGCAGTCAGCTGTGGAATCAGGAGAATTCGGACATCAGTTTTGCTTACCTAATTTCATCAACTGATTCATTTCTGTTTGTTATTGTAGCTTCACCCTTTCCTGTACATCTCCCAGTATTACAATAATTCCATGGAGGGTGTATATTTGGATGACAAAGGGGACCTGGCAATTGACTTTGACATCATGTACTGGGAGACGTTTCCCAATTGGACTTGTAACAAAGTGAAACTTGGGAGTCTGGAAAGAAAGGGACTCTCAGAAGATAAATTCAAGCTCACAGTGGATCAGGATGGAATCAGAAGGGCCTTGCAGGTGAATGAGATGGGAAAGATCATTTTTTTCAGTTCCATATTTTGTATGTCTTGTTTAAAATCTGTGACTTTTCTCCAACTGATTATGTGTCACAAAGACACATAGAATTCAGAATTCCTTTTTGGCTTATGTTTGTTATAGCAACAATACAATGCTAACAATGAGATCAATACAAAATCTTGGAAACCACAAGAGGAATTTCTCAGCCTCATTTCTAGTAAATTCATTTTGGTGAAGATATCTGAAATGCTCCCTTTGCACCTGGTCTCAATGGCCGTGTCTGAGATAAGCTTCAAAGATGATCCCCTGTTTTCTATGGATTGTGTATCTCTGCTCTCCCTTCCATTCCTTTCCTAGCCTGCCGTTGACCCTTCTCCCTATATCTCCTCAGAGAGGAACTCCCTGGAAGTTAGAGGTATATAAAGCTGCCAATAGAAAAGCAACCCCTGTTCTTGACAGGAAAGGATGGGAGCAACATGAGAGCAGAGGTTGATTTTCTAGCTGTGGGGGAGAATGATCAAAAATCCATCTGAGACACTCTGTGGCTGCTTCACTGCACCCTCTGTCAGATGCCTACAAGATACTCACAGTGGTTAAATACATTTTTGCCATCTTTACTTGTGGCTCTTTCAATTTTTCTGGTTTAGATTCAGCTGTCATAGTTCCGATAGATGAGACCAATTAAAGCAGAACTCCTAGGCTTGAGTTTTCCTCTAAGAACATGTTTATTGGTTACAAAGTATCGGCACGGTCAAAAGTGAAACCAAGACTAAAGTTCCCTTCAAAAAGTAACAGTATTACAAAGTTAAACTTCCCACCTATGCCAGGGGTGTCAAATTGCTGGCCTGTGGGCTGGATGCGTCACGATCAAACCACGCCCACTCCATTGCCAGCAATGGGAAAAAAGTTGCGATACATCACGACATGTCACATGACGTCACGAGTTTGACATCCCTGACCTATGCAATCAACTATGTTTCTAACATTAGGCTCAACCCCCCAGTCTAATGAACAGAATGACCTTGGTTCCCACGTGACAGAGAATAGCATAAAACTCCCCATCCCTCCCCCCATCTTGTGGCAACCAAAAATGAACAAGATGGCTTCAGCCAGGTTTGTTGTAGAGTTGACATCAGCAGTTAAAACTTGGGCCAGTGGTTTGTTTGTTTGTTTGTTTGTTTATTTATTTATTTATTTATTTATTTATTTATTTATTTATTTATTTATTTATTTATTTATTTGTTATGTTGTCCATCTCCTTTACAAGGTGATTCTGGGCAGCATTGGTTGAGTTTTAGGAAGGACATCAGTTCCACCTGTTTTATTGAATGTTTCTTCTTTTTAATCTTCAGCCCATGCCAAGGTCTCGTTGTGTGGATAGTTGCTTGCCTGGATTTGTCAGGCTGCTGAACCCCATGAAGCCAGTTTGCTGTTACCATTGTGTTCCTTGTGCAGAAGGGACCATCTCCACTCAGGAAGGTGGGTGACTCCAGAGGGAAAAGCTTTACATATCTTGCTAGTTTTAATATCCACAATTATTTCTAGCACTTTAATTAGTTCTTAGTTTATCCCGCATTTTTATTTTTTCATCATTATAAAACAAGGAAATGTTTCTCTCCCACTGAAAGAGTGCTGATACAAAGAAATCACCTAGCTACCTATAAAATAAAAATAAAAAACACTTAAAATATAAAAGACAATAAAGTATAGCAAGGGAAACAGAAAAAAGGAAGAAATATAAAATATATAGATATATCATCTCTACATTAGTCATTTGTGGTTATATGCTTGAAAAGGTCTGACACATGTCATGAATCCAATCTTTAATGTCTGAAATTTAATAATTTAATTTAATTTAATAATTTAATTTATATACCGCCCTTCTCCCGTAGGACTCAGGGCGGTGCACAGCATATTAAAACAGATACAAACAAAATACATCAAAAAACAAAAAACCCCATAAAACCAAATAAAGATGCTTTCCCAATTTCTCAAAGTCATTCTCTTAGCAATTCTCCACGCTCAGTATAACCAAAGTTCCTCAAAAACAGTACAATTCCACATTTTCAGAATGTAATTCAAGATAAATTTAACTTTAACTCTGAAAGATTTGCATACCAGTGAAGAAGGTGGGTGTTGCATTTGTTCTTTGCTGATGCCAACTACTGTATGAGATGCCCTGAGGACCAACATCCCAACAAGAACCGAGAACAGTGTATTCCTAAAAGGATAACCTTCCTATCCTACTCAAAAATAGTGGGGATCGTCCTCACTTCCTTTGCTCTACTCTTCTCTTTCAGCACTGACTTTTTTAAAGCATCTTTCTTCAACATCTAGAAACTCCAGTAGTCAAAGCCAACAACTGGGACCTGTCCTACTTGCTCCTTGTTTCCCTCCTACTTTCCTTCTTGTCTTCCTTTCTCTTCATTGGCCAACCAAGAAAAACCACCTGCCTTCTGCGACAAATAGGCTTTAGCATCATTTTCTCAATGGCTGTCTCCGTTGGCCTGTCAAAATCAATCATTTCCTTCCAGGGCCTCCCTCCGGGGCTATACTAGGTCCAGGGTTGAGATTATATTTTTGCTGCCTTGAGTTGTAAAAATAAGAAAGGCAGAATATAAATAAATAAGCAAGTAAATAAGTAAACCGAAAAGCAGTCCTCCCTTTGGCAGGAAAGGATGGGAATAACACGAGGCCAGAACTTGTCTTTCTAGCTGTGAGGGAGAATTGTCAAAAAGCCATTATATGACTGCTTCACTGCACCTTCTGTCAGTTGCCCACAAGAGAGTCACAGAGTTTAAACCATTCATTCATTCATTCATTCATTCATTCATTCATTCATTCATTCATTCATTCATTCATTCAACTGCGGTTCTTTCAGTTCTACAGGTTTAGATTCAGCAAATGAAAACTTAGGCCAGCAGTTTGCTTGGTTCCTTCTTTTCATAGGGACATTAGCTCTGCCTATTTGATTGAATGCTCCTTTTCTTTATCTTTAGCCCCTGCCAAGTTCTCGGTGTGTGGATAGTTGCCTGCCTGGATTTGTCAGGCTGCTGGACTCCAAGAAGCCTGTTTGCTGTTACAGTTGTGTTTCTTATAATCTCCACATTGTGCATTTTTAAACAATTTTACTGTATTTCATATATACATACACACACACACACACACACATACACAAATAAAATTAAAAATAAAATTAAATAATAGAAAAAAGTGGGGGGAAAAAGACAAAATTAGGGGTACAACAAGTAAGGAAAAGGGCTGCAAAAAAACCCACCTTTCAACTTTCTTTTATATTACAGTCATTTGTTTAAATTCAAAGTTACGGGCACTGAATGGCACTAAAAAAGTGACTTTATTTTTCATACTTACAACAGTCACATATGCAAAATTTGGGCACTTGGCAATTGGCATGTATTTATGACATTTGAACTGTGATCACCATTTGCCAGCTTTTGTCAAACAAAATCAATGGGAGAAGCCAGATTTGCTTAATGACTGCATGATTTACTTAACAACTGCAGTGATTCACTTAACAACTGTGGCAAAAAGGTTGTAAATGGACTAAAACTTACTTAACAACTGCCTTACTTAGCAATGGAAATTTTTGGCTCAATTGTAGTCATACATCGAGGACTACCTGTAATTATATTGTCTACTATGGATATTTCCTGATGTAAAATTTTAATTTGGTGTAAAATGGAGGAATTTGCTGGTACTTTCTATAAATTTATTTTATTTTATTTATTTATTTTACAAAATTTATATGCCGCCCTTCTCCCCATGGGACTCAGGGCGGCTCACAGCATGTTAAAACAATATACAAAATTACCCCTTCTAAAAACCAATTAAAATCCAAATATTAGTGGCTGTGACTATTTAAAATCATTAAAAATTTTCCCTATTTAAAATTCACCCTAGGTCAGGCCCGCT